GTAAATAGTTCCTCGGTGTCCCACTTTGTCCTTTCCGTCTTTATGACAAAACCAACACATACAGGAGTGTTGCACGTGCGCCGCTTTGCCCGAGAGACAAGACACTAATCCAGAAGCCATTTGCTGTGTGAATGTGGACCGGGTCTGAGCAGGGACCGACGTGTCAGCAGAGCTTCTCGTCTCCCCCAGCGAGTCATCAAAATATGGAGAAAAAAAATACCTGGAGTCCAGAATGTTGTTAAGAAGGAGAGAGACACAGTGACACAAACGTGTGTGTGTGTGTGGGGCGTTTTACTGTTTGCGTTGTAGAGGAGACGCATGTGCTTCTGTCACTCTGTGACGTGTGTGCGCTCACTACTTCAGCTTTGTGGACCAGCTTGAATGTGAGACCTTCACAGTGTGGACTTTTTAAAAAAGTGAGGACATTTTTGTGTCATTTCAGACACACAAAGCTGCTTTGACTTTGAGCTGCTGTCTGCGGTGCGGACGCTCACATTTCTGCTTCTGTAAGACGACTAATCAGAGCACACCGTGAGGCCCTGATGACCTCAGCGTCTTGCTCAAGGACACTTGGTCCAGGAACAGCGAGCCTCCTTACTATGCCTCACTTCAGCAACTTCAAACCAACGGGGGGAATTCTTTCCACGTCAAAGGAGACTAAATTTGCCTTTTTGTCGCTTTAAAAAATGGGTTGAAAACGAGTGGAAAACTGGAAAAGGTCCGGTTTTAAATAAACACCGGCGCCCGTTTGGGTTCCATCATATAATTCATAGTTCATGGATTAAAAGAGCAGGTGACTGAATTGGATGTCTCAAGGAAACACGACACCCTCTTAACAGTTTGGACAGTATTCAGTGGAGGATGCGTTGAGCATATTTGGTTTCTGTGGGTTTTTTTTTTTTTTTTAAATGAGTCTGTGTGTGTTTGGGAATAAGATCACAAACACCCTGCAGCGGCCGTTAGCATGTGTGCATCAAAGAGAACAACTCAGTGTGAAAACACTGAGCAGACTTTAGCTCAGAGCCGCTTGTCAGCACAAATCAGCTAATTGTTCTGCACTTGAAGGAGCTGCAGGAAGCAGGGCAGATTTTTGAGAAGCTCGCAAAAAAAAAAAAAAAGTCTCAATACATTTTTTGTTTCTCCCTCCGTGTAATAGAAACAACACGACTCCAGTTACAATCTCTTTTTCATCCGTCCCGGGAGGGATATTTCGGGAAGGACATGATGAATGAAGAAGGAGCGTGCAGCTGATAAATGCCTTCAGAGTGTTGGGCCGGGAAAATGAGATGAAAGTATCGCGCACAACCCCTCACGTCTCACACAGGAAGCCAGCGCAGAGTGGTGACCTGTGCAGAACGCTACGTACGTACAAATGAAAAGGATGGATTTACAAGGCCCTTTAGAAAATGAACATCGCGAAACTGTGTGTCAGCAATCTGCAGAATTAAGTGAAAATGTGTGGAGGAGACGCCATGCGTTGAAGAAGACAACTAACTGAAAGTCCTGCAGGACGTTGGATGTCTTCTAAAACCCGCGCGGGGAGGGGGGGGGGGGGATGGGGTGCTATATGTGCTATCAGTGACAGAAGGGATGAATCACTTTGTCAAGCATAAATGGAAACGCTTTGGAAACACTGTGTGATGACAAACACACACACACACACACACACACACACACACCACAAGTGAAGTTTGTGGTGAGAGTTTTGACGGATGTCAGTTTTGGGGGGATTTTGACTGAAATGATTCTGCTGAAGTTGAATGAGGCTCGCGACATTGTTCTTCGAGTGCCTTGTGTGTGTGTGTGTGTGTGTGTGTGTGTGTGTGTGCACGCTCAGCCTCATCCAGATGCTTATTTCTTTAACGTGTGAATGCGGGAGCTCTTTTCGATGTTGCATAAGCAGTTGCTGAATGAATTATTCAGTCTAAAAAGCCGCGTGCACTCTGTCGGCTGCCAAGTCTCTGCTGAGGGGTCTCGGCTGGGAGGCCAGAAAAGAAAGAAAAGACTCGACGAGCCAACGGGACGATTCTATGAACAGCTCGCCTGTTATGGAGGCCGATGAACGCCTCCCTGAGCGATGCAGCGGGTACAGCGAGCCGCCCCACCCACCCGGCGCGTGTACGTTGCAAAAGGAGAGACGGTATCATCACCTGGGGGAGATGGGGGAGGGGGGGGGGGTATTTACGCCACTTACCCGTCTCTTTGCTACGCCCATGAATGGATTGCATGGAAGGAAGCGTGAATAAACGCTGAACGAGTGAGCAGGCGAAAGAACGAGCAAAGAATCGACAAACATACTGTAGCAGCGCGAGTGGAGGCCGAGGGGGGGGGGCGGCCCCCTCTGTTTGGCTTCACGCCGTCTGAAACATGCTCGTTGAAAGCGTTCATCCGGAAAAGCGGATCTGTCACAGGACACCTGAGGAGGCGAGGCGGGGGGGGCGGAGGGGGCTGTTAGCTGGTCCAAGGATGGGAGACGCGGGACGTAGAAGTGCTGCAGGACATGAGCGATTACGTTGCAGGATGTGTTCTGCCTTGTGAAACATAAGTGCCGGTCGAACGCGGCCGCGTCGCGATGCTCCCTCGTTATTAGCGGAGGTATTTCCTTCTCTCGCTGGCTGGGGGAGATTTCAGGGTCTTCTTCAAGGGCAGATGATGCTCGACTTAATGAGATGTGCCCCCGAAAACGCGTGCGGTGTCCCTCTGTCATCCCAGCAGTCAGTGGAAGGCCCGCGGCCTTTCTCAATTACTCGGTTCCCGAGCCTCCTCGTCTCCTTGATCCTGCGGCTCAGAGCTGCATCTTGAAGGACGACACACTCCCTAAAACGCATCTCGCGCAGGCAGCAGCCTCAGATTCTGCTGAGGGAAGACAAATGTATGTATGTTCTCTGCTGACCAGCAGGGGGCGACTCCTCTGGTCCTATGGAAGTCTACGGGAGAACGACTTTGACTTGACTGATTCCCTGAATAAACATGTTTATATGGTCTCAATCTCTAGTTTCAAGTCTTCTTCAATACATACGTTCGTAAATTATTGTCCATTTTTAAAGTCTAAAATCCAAAAAGTTTTTTATGAGTTTTTAAAAAATTTGGGTCATAATCTAAAGCTGCTCCCACACTAATTACGCATAGCTGACATATTTAATATCTCATGAAGGAAAGCGAGCACAGCTTGACGTTAAAAGGTGTAACTGTGGAGTCATCCCAGCCAGAGGACGCACTCCGGCTCACAGTGAACCGAGCAGCCTGGATGAGTGCCGGAGGAGCGATAAGACGCCTCACCGCTGCACAGGCTCCGTTTCCACTAATCAAGAATTAGTGGGTTGATGATTGAGAATTATGCTAATGTTGTCAACTTTGCATTGAAACCATCCCTCTCCCAACAGTAACGGATGCTCGCTAATTCATTTTGATTCGATTCTGCAGAAAGTTTCTTTTTTTCTTAACGGCCTCAGCCCTTGATTCTATCTGCACGTCTGCTTTGTTTTAAACGATTTGTTTCTTTCTGACGAGGCGAATGACAGTGTGCCACGGGATGCTGCGTAACGTGCGGCATATGTGACAGTCGGATGTCAGCAGGATGTTTTGAGTCATGGATCGTGTTGCTCCTGCTGGTCGAGTTGCTTCTCTTCTTCTGTTGCTTCTTGAGGCTTTTTATAAATCAATCGCCTCCCATTCGTAACATCACAACGCAAATCATGTGATAAACCAGCCGGCCCTGCTGCTCTTTTTAAAACCTCTGGCTTCGACATTCATCCCCGGATTTTAGGTCTTACGCAGACTTGCACAATGACATCATTGCAAATTTAAGATGTACTTCAAGTTTAATGTGCTGATAAGCATATGGGGGGAATTGGTTATTTGGTGTTTCTTGTTCGGGTCATGAATATAATTCTTTACATTCTGCTGCTCTCTGTTTACACTATAATCAATCCAAAATGAACCCAAAAAATAAACCAGTCCTCTATTCATATTTCTGACCAAAGATGTGCACAGAAGTAGTTTTTATTTATTTTGTCAGTACCACCTGGCGTTTGCTCCTCGGCCTCCGGGACGCCCCCATCCCCTTCGCCCCCCCCCCCCCCCTCCGTCATAATCAATATGTACACAGAGCAATAAATTGCAATGGACATTGGAGATGACATTATCTCTGGAGAAAGTAAGCCATGTTGATCCCAGCCAAGCATTTGTACATTTGTCGGAGTGAGTCGAGACGCACACAAGCGCTGGATTCTGTTGCCGTTTGTTTCCTCGTTTGAGTTAATTTATGAATTTATTCTGTCTCTTTCACTCTAATCAAAGTAGAGGAGCAGTCACACGGCACCTTCACGCTGATGACTGGAGAGGAATCTAAATGTCTGCACCCTCAGGGCCAAGGAGACGTTTTCTCAGGCGGAGGAAGCACTTTATTTTTCAGAGCAGAGCGAGCAGACCCCCCCGCAAACACCCCCCCCCCCTCCCTCCCTCCCTCCTCCCCAGCAGCTTCCATCCGACCAACCGGCCCGAGGGCGCGATGACTACGGAGGCAAAGCGCCTTAACGGACCATCGTTTCCGCGGCCGAAGATGAGCTCGCCCTTGAAGGAGGAACCAGTTATCCTGTTGTTGGTATAAATGATAAACATACTGTCTTTTTAAAGCCTTTAATCTGTGACATCTGTGACATACGTCACTCAGAATTAATGTTGGAAGTTTTTGAGAAGCCAAGTTGCAAGAAAAAAAAAAAAGTCGACGTTATGAAGTGAAGTGTGAAAAGTAGCAAATGACTTATTGTCAATTATTGTAAGTTAAGTGGTATAATACAGTTTAAGAGATACAGGACTTTCAGAATAAAAGGTGTTGTGATTCAGAGGCATCGCCTTTAGATGAGCGATTACCTTTTAGAGGGAACTCCTGATCATTCAATCTTTTTTTCTTGTCGTGCATTAACATCCTGTCACCTGGACTACACAAGTGTTCCATCAAAAATCTGCCAGTTATTGTATTGATGTTGATACGGCCTCACCTCTCACTGACAAGCTCCTCCATCACCGGCATCTGGCCTGCAGCGCTGACGTTCATGTAACCATACATGCAGAGGGTCCCTGCAGGCACGAGATCACAGTTAGCGAGCCCACATCGTCACTCGTTCCATTATGAGCAACTTCTAACTCATTTCATTAACATGAAAGTGTCAAACCGGATCAGAATTATGGAAATAAAGCAGTTTTCTTTGACATTTGACATCTACAGGCGACTACGTTGGCTCCAGTGTGCAGTGATTCCAGGTTCAGCAAAAGGTATATGCTGCCGCTTCACGTTAAATCAAACGCCCCGGGCTGGGGACAAACTAAAAAGACTTCCGTGGCCCCGTCTTCCCCCCCCGAGAGGCGAGTAAGTAAATCAATAAACGAGCAGGTTTTCATTCAGCCGCCGGAGGTCGACTGCTCCGGAGTAATGCCTCCAGGACGCTGTGCCGAGCCTCCATATCGCGACAAGGTCACGGATATTTGAGCATTCCCGCGGCCGTCTGCGGCGGAGGTCGAGGTAGGTCAAGGTTCGGGCTGACTGGGGGGTCGGGGGAGGGGGGGGGTCGGCGGCAGAGCGAGGAGGCTCGAGAATAAGAACAGCCGTTCGTCCTCAGCGGCGTGGACACTCAGAGCAGGAACTAAATCCTCCTCGTTCTGAGGAGTAGCACAGAGGCCGGCGCCCGCGGCCTCACGCAGCACTGAGACGCCGCATTGATTCATTTCCTGGTGTCAAATCGGCACGAAAATCGCTGAAAAAACGTTTGTCCTCACAGTGAAGAAGAAGACATCCAGAAGAACGGCTGAAACGATTTCCACTCTGATGCACCCGGGCGAGCAAACGTGCAACTATGTAAACATCGACTCGCATTACTTCATGGGTGACATGTGCTCCAGATGCTTAACAAAGACACCGGACTCCAAAAATATACATATATTAGTTTAATAATGGATTTACAGACACGACTACAGACTTCCTGCATCCCTCTTGGACTTTAGTTGCACTTTTAAGGTCATTAAACCAGCTCTCCTTGCAACCAAGAGTGTCACCAGTCTCCTAATCCACGACTCAATTTGACTTTCAATTTCATGGTCAGGAAACCATTTCCTTTTTCTATTTGCTGACAACTGTCATTTTCATTCTTTCGTTCTTCTAAATCGTGTGTGTTTTGCCAAACGGGGGACTTCAGAGTAGTCTTTTTTCCTCCGTCATCCCCGTCTCAGCTCCGCGGTGCTTTCATTGAAATGTTTAATTGGGAAAATCTAAAAATAATGCAAAGGGCAAACGTTTGTTTTTTTGCCCGATTCGCGTATGAAAAAGATCTGAGGTCCCTTCTTGCAGCGAGCTAAAAACGGCCCACATTTGAACATTTATCTGAGTGTGAGGTTCTCACGCTGAAGCGAGCGATTGACCGACGGTGGTCAAAGAGAACGTGTGATTATGTAAATGCATGTCCTTGATGATATCACACTTTCTCTCCTCGTTTGCTGACACCTCAGTGTTTCCATTATCATTGTACACCCTTACATCATCATGCAGTCCTCACTTTTGATCTTTGAAATGACAGTATTTGGGATGAAGGATTAGGATTAAAGAAGAAGACCTTCATAAAAGCACCGCCCCTGTTTCTTTTCTCCAATATGTATAATCAGAATCGACAGTGACTCTCGAGCACCAAATGAAGCTCCGGGACTTAAAACAACGGCGTGTTTCCACGGATCAACTTGATCGCATCAAGAGATGACAATCGGAGGATGCTGGAGATGAGAGGTCAAAGGTCTTCTTTGTAGATGGTTTGCGCACAATGGCTTCTGAGAGTGTCCTGCTGAATAATCTTCATGTACAACTGCATACGTTTGCCTGTCAGGAGACTTCATCCTCAGATACTGGTGGACGTGGCCTTCTACACACGAACACAGGCTCATGCAAATCCATAAGACGTACTGGAGTGTGCGTCTGTGTGGAGTTAAAGATGTGGATGCAGAAGGTGCGTCGGAGCAAAGCGATTCTTTACGCCTCCGTCATGCTTGTAGAGGATGAACCTGTGATGTCTACATGTTGGGAGAAGATGAACCCCGGCTTGCAAACCAAGTCACAGCAGTGATGTTTGAACGCATTGTACATTTCCTCTTCAATCTGAATCCACGACGATTCCACTTTTTGTTTGTTTTTTAGCTGTTATTTTACTCTCCATTGTTTTGCCATTCAATCCCTTTGGTCACCTCCCATTGCCTTTTACAACGTGCTCTTGCAGTGAACTGCGGTGTTCATGAGCTGCGGCATAGAAATAAACTTCCCTCTACGATGACCTGTGACCTTCAGAAGCCACTGAAAGAGAATTATTTTAAATGAGTTCTTGACAATGGGACAACTGCTTGGTAAGTGAGAATGAAACCCGACGTTCACCACCATCACGTCCACTGGCTGAGTCTCCATCACGCTCAATCTGTCGGCCCCCACCTGGTACCAGCGGGGGGACTAGATGTGGCTCCACTACACAGACGTTATGGCGTCTCTGAATATAATATAATCATTTAGTGCTGCTGATATAAACGCACATCTTTCTGTTAGTAAACCCGTAGTTTGCATGAGGAACTTTTGTACCTTGAATGGAAATATATGTATTTACATTCCTATCCTTTTCTACAGCTACGTTGTATATATTGAAAATAAGGAAATATCATAAATATTTCTTCACTATGCACAAGTACAACAAATGCATTGTATGCTAAACAACCTACTTAAATTTAAATTTAAATAATTCAAAACTAAGCTGATAATATGTTGCAATATCCTTAACAAATGCAATCAACATTGATTTTTGCAATTGCTGATGTTAAGAAATACATGACATTACCCAGTAACATATAGTGCATTCATTGGATCAGGAGTAACGCAACATTTTGCATAAAGATTTGCTTTTCCAACGAAAATAGCAATTGTTGCAAAATCTGTGCCGACCAACAGAACCAATTGGACCATGTTTGCATCGTGCACCCGCATTTACTGTTAATATCATCACTTAGAAACTGCCGTCCTCCTACATATTAACCCAAACCGGAGCCCTTTAAATAAGAACTAATATACAGGAATGTGTGAGGGACGAATATCAGCTCACGCTGTGATTTTCCCACCTTCTTCCTACACATGTGCGATAATCCTGCACAGATTATTATATCAGACGGATTTGCCACCAGACTAAAAACTCTCCCTGCTACGGTCTTTGCGTCCCCGTTCCATAATAGACACGCATGCCAGAGCTAATGGACGAGGCCTCGGGTGGGGGGGGGAGGGGGGGGGGCTGTCAGCTCTCATCCAGTCACACTGAGAGGAGGGGCAGGTGAACCACGAGGGAACCGATGACAGCTTGATGAACTAATGGAGGAAAAGAAAAAGAAAAAAATCGCAGGGGGAGGAAAAACAAAGAGAAGAGGGTTAAAAACTGTGCAGGCGGAGACGATAAAGTTGAATAGCTGCATTTTAATGCACTTCTGCCTTGAGAAGCGACTCAGACTACACAGGTTCCGGTACGACGCCTGAAAAGAAGTACTAGCGGCAGGCTGGTACTCTACTGCAATGAGTCGCCCTCCTTCCCTGCTGCGGCCGCGTGGAAAACCTCTTAGCGGCTCGCTCTGCATTGTGGGTAAAAACCCAGGCAGAGTCGCCACAAAAGGCCCCTCGCTTTGTTGCAAGTGGACAGAAATATTCTGTCAAGAGGTTTATTCGCTGCGACTCATCAGAGCTGTTTGACATTACAGGTAAAGACGACCGCTCCGAAGGGGAGAACGTGTCGATGGTGGTAATGTGCACCAGTCAGCAGTCGAAGGACCGCCGGTCCGAATGGAGGGGCTTTAACAAGGTGGACTAAAGGTTTAACCAGAGGTTTGGGACGGCGTGGTGCCGGCCCGTTAGAGGGCAGCTGATACCGACCGGTGATGTTTGTTCCCTCAGGTTTACACACAAACACATATTCATATTTATGCTCCCATGTGGAGACCCTAACTCCGACCAGCAGGCCAGGTTCACACTGCAAGTGCTTTTATTGTGAAAGGCAAGTTTCACAATAAAAGCACTTGCAGACCACATCTGCACAATCCTCTGGTTGTGTATTTGTGTGTGTACACATTAGCAAATCCTTTGTACGTTTTGGCCATAAACTAAGTTTATTTGTTTGTGTTAGAGAAATTGAAAAAACAAACTAAAGAAATTGATTTTTAAGATATAAGAGCATAAAAAAAAAATTCTGTTGAATTTTGTCGGATTAAGATTTGCACGCGATGTGGACAGAACGAGAGACAAATAGATCAGACATCTTTCCAGAGAGACTTATGATTCAATCACATCAGAATACATAAGCCAGCAGGAGGAGAAGCTCGTCTCAAATCACAAAGCGCTCCCACTGGAGGGACCACAATCGGAAGAAAAAGTGATTGAAAGCTGCCATTACATTAATGGCACACACCGTGCTGCGGATAATCTAAAAGAGCGCTTTGACTTTATTATGAAACAAGTCCAGATTTGGGTGATAAACCGCACAATGTTTAGTCATCTTTGACGTCTTTCAAATGGACTCAATGGGGTGAACACATCATCTTTTGTAAAAATCCAATGTTTCCACAATCCACAATTTGTCAGAATTATATTACACCTACAGCGTTGATATTTACAACGTGGAGACTAAATATCTTCCTTTGTTGTGCTAATGTAGGACAACGTCTAAACAAAAAATGATTTTTACTGAGGTTTTGGTGGCTAATGGGGACCAAATTGTTGTTTTAGCATTTTCTCTTTTCTGAAAATACAGTTCTGAGTCAAATATTAATCCATTTTTGGATTGAAGATAATTGAAGATAGCTCTGAAGATGTGGGCGGAGCCACAGACGTCGATAGAAATGTGAGTGGACATTTTTTGAATCGATACTCAGTGGGTGGGAAGATCTGAAGGTCAATCTGCAGCTTCTCAGAGTCTAACGCATCCTAATTCACCAGGAAAGGAAACCTACCCACTCAGTTTGAGGTCAAACAACTCAACTTTAATTAGATTTCTGTTGGCTCTAAATTAACCTAAAGTCAATTA